ATTTTTAAATTTTTTTTTCCAAAGAAAAATAAAAAAATGTCCAACCAAGAAATTTTAACATTATAACATTTCTAGCAATATTTATAATTAAAATCTTATTGAATTGACTTTGGAGTACACCTTAGTCAATTTTATATTTTTAGGGTGAATGAGCTGAGACAGCTCAAGAATCCTATATCTAACCAAAATAGAGTTTAATAAAAAATATCAACACACAAATATTTTCTACAAAGAACTACGTGACTCTGATTCTTCATTGCACATGAAGATACGTAGGAGCAAGAATTAAATCTTGTCGAGCCAAAAAAATAAAAATATATTATTTTCCTTTCTATATAACAATAATAATTTAGTTAAATAAAATATATTTGATTATTTTAATGAGATAAATATTTTATAAATTATAAATAATTAGTTTAATTAATTAAAGGTAATCGTCTTAGGACGAACGTTGTGAGGTGCTAATACCTTCCTCACACGTAACCGACTCCTGAACTCAAAAATTTGGTTTTCGTAGACTATTTTCTACTTTATGTTTTTTTTCCAATGTTTTTTCCGTAAAAATAACATTGGTGGCGACTCCTCTCTGTTTCAATTTATTTTTCGCCGTCCCGTCGCGATCTCGATTGCGACAGATGGCGACTCCACTGGGGAATTTTTGAGAGTCGAGCCTATAATAATTAGTTAAGTTAATTAATAGTTTTTAAAAATGTTTATCTCACTTTTGTTTTATGTTATTATTGCTGTTATCTTTGGTTTATGTCTCTTATTTGTTGTTTATTTTATTTGCATTAATTCTAAATATGTGGCGTGTAATTTGAATTTTAGGATAGAAGAATTTTATTTTTTATATTATATGTATCGTGATTTGTAGATTGGGTAGTGTAAGGTTGCTCCCTTCACACATTTCACTTACACAATTTCACACACGTTTATGAGTGGGGTCCTATGCCCGGACTTGAGTGCAACTTAGGATAGTAAGAGGTTGAGTAGTAGTAACCTTCTTGATGAACATCTTGTTTGGTTATTATGAAGGCCTCACTTAGAGTTTGATCCTTTCAAGGGTATTATCACCTCTAATAGTTTACCTATTATTGTGACTAATATCCTAAGAAGGGTTATTGGCTCTAGGAACCTGTTTTAGAACCATAGTCCTACCCTTTTGAGAGGAACACATATTAGTGGTCTATAGAGCTTTCAACTTAGGAATGCCCTTGTTAAGTATCACAGGAGCAATATTCTACCTCTATATTCAAATTACACAAAACAAAAAAAAAAGATTTTTTTTTCCATTCCATAACAAGTATCATGCATTTTATTTCATGAAAATTTTAAAAATAAAATTTTTCCTCATGTCATGAATTTCAAAAAGAATACCATAGAATGAAATAGATAACTTCATTAATAGCATGTTGCATTCATTTCTAGGTTGTTGGAGAGTCATAAAGACTTAAGTCGCTACGAACATCTTTCGAGAAGTCATGGAATCAAGTTTAAGAAAAACTTTGAAGTTAAAGGTTAGACAAACATATTTGAGTAGTTTGAAGACTCTTAGTAACATGTTAAAAGGCGGTCAACGAAGAACTTTTGTTGTTCGATATGGAAGAATCCTTAACCTATTGGAGGTAGACGTACAAGAGGGAGCTCTTACTGCCCTAGCCCAATTCTATGACCCTCCTTTGAGGTCATTTCTCTTTCAAGATTTTTAACTGGCACCATTACTCGAGGAATATGAACAGATATTGAGAATTTGCTTAGGAAATGAAAAGCCTTATATGTACATGGGACATTATCCTTCATTAACCAAAGTTGTCACATCCTTAGGAATTGATGTTAAAGAACTAGCAAGCAAGAAAGAGATCAAAGGGGGGATCGAAGGTTTCTCGCGAACTAGCCTTGAGCGATATGCTTTAAGCTTAGCAGAGAGTGAGAGATGGGGTGCTTTCATGGATGTGCTCGCCTTCATTATTTATGGGATTGTCTTATTCTCGAACGTTGAAAACTTTATTGACTTCGCTGCAATTGATGTCTTTTTGGCCATGAGAAAAGGAGTCCTGTATCAGCCATCCTTGCAGATACATACCATTCCCTTACCTTGTGCCATGAAAGAAAAGGTGGGGTAATTTTGTGTTGTATACCAATACTATACTTGTGGTTCACATCGTATATGTTCAAGAGAGGAAGTCAGATTCAGATTAAAAATAAGAGTGAATGGGCTTACAACATAGCAAATCTTAGTGAAAATACCATTTCTTGGTACTCGCGAGAGCAAAGCATTAATGAAGTGATTTGTCAATGTGGAGATTTCCGAAACGTACCACTCATGGGTACTAAGGGATGTGTAAACTACAATCCCACTCTTGCGTTAAGGCACCTCTGTTATCCGATTAGGAGTCCACCGGTTGAGGATTCGATCACTCCTTTCATGGTTTATGATATGACTAAGGAGTTGGATTTACTTAACAAGATTAGACAGTCTTGGGATAAGGTGATCAATAAAGGGAAAGAATTGAGAAGAAGAAATGGTAATGTGGAGTTAAGTTATCAACAGTGGCTCTATGAGAGGGTCCAACATGTTAAATTGTCGTTCCGAGGTCCCATTCCAGTTGTTGAAGAAACGCCAATGCAAGAACCCATGAGTCAAGAAGAGATCGAAAAACTTACGAAAGAGTTGGCCAAATCTAAAAAAGAAAAAGAAGATATGAAGAGGGAGTTAATACAAACCCGCCAAGAATATCAAGCAGCGCAAAGAGAAATTTTCCAAGTAAGACAACATGTTGAACTAGCCAATAAACGAGCAAGAATTGAAGAAGAAGGTAAGTTAAATACCCGCAGTTATTTAGAGGCCACTTCCACAGAGTTATTAGGAGAGAAAAATCATCAGGTTATGGGCCTAGAAGAAGAAGTAAGGCAATTGAGGGACATCATCGAAATACATGAAGAAAATCAAAGAATTTGGGCATATAATCTTGTGGATCGAGTTCAGCAACTTAAAAACATGCTCCATGACACCTCTCACCTGCTACAACGAGCTGAGGGAATGGCGATCCCACATTCCACCCCCAAAGAAATTTATGACTTCCTTGAACACTGTAGAGATATGATAGCTAAAATGAGAGAGATGGTTGTTAGTGGTGAATAATTTGAGTTATCATGACGTATTGCACTATTGTTATTAATGAAGAAATTTGTCAGTTTCTACTTTGATTTCTCTTCCTTATTCGTAATGTTACTAAGAGAGGATGCTTATGCAAAAAAAAAACTACTCATTTCATAGTACACTTAGTACTTAGAACGTGACGTTCTAAAGGAAAGTTTAATTAACAATGATCACAAAGATCCATTGATCCCATGACCTAGTGCCTAGAACGTGACGATCTAAGGGACAATTAAAGAAAGAGGATTCTACGCGAGTCATGCGATTTATGGTTCTCCAACAATTTAGCATTTGTACATACATGATGCATAGATACATTTTCATATCATCACATACTCAGCAAATTTTCTTACGCAGTTATAAAATTAAAAAAAAAACAATTATTGAGGCAAAGAAAGCATCCCTTTGACACCCTTACGGGACACGTGCAAAGACCAAAATCATGGAAGGGATGGTAGATGACTTGGAGCAACAACATGAGGAGCTGAGAGGAGATGTAAATCAGTTGAAGGAACAAATGGGGAAGATTTTGGACTTGTTGCAGTCAATGGAATCTAAAAAAGGGACAAATGGAGAATCGTCTAAACAGCCTCATGAGTCACCTGATTACCCTCCTGGGTATACTCCACGCACGCAACCCAACCCAAATGTTCAGGGGTACACACCACCTGTCATCCTAACGACCTCAGAAAATAACCATCATGTTTCCACTTCAAACCTTCAAGGCCAAACCCCATTACCTCCATATGGCTTACCTCCAGGATACACCCCACCTGTGGCTAATATTCCTGAGGGTAATCCATCTACCTCCACCTTAAACCCGCCAAATCAAACACAAGCCCAAAACATAGCCATTGAATCCAATGACCCACAAATTCCAACCCACTCATTTGCTCATGCACCATCTACCCATATGTATGCACCACCTAATACAGTTCATGGTGACGAGCCTCCTAATCACCAGGGAATAGTTCCTGCACCAACTGTTATTATACACCATCGTCATTCAGAAGATATTTCCCATGATGATAAGCTTCAATCTTTGGAAGACAGATTAAAGGCCATAGAGGGATTTGACAATTATGGTTTTAATGCTGCGGATCTGTGTCTGGTTCCTGATGTTATAATTCTTCCCAAGTTTAAAGTTCCAGAACTTGATAAATACAAGGGAGATACATGCCCAAGGAATCATCTCACTATGTATTGTCGAAAGATGGCCTCCTGCGCTCATGATGAAAAATTGTTGATTCACTTCTTCCAAGAAAGCCTTAGTGGGGCAGCGTTGAGTTGGTACATGAGCCTAGGGCGAGGAAGAGTGCGTACATGGAAAGACTTGGCAGAGACATTTTTGAAACAGTACAAGTACAATATGGACATGGCCCCAGATCGCACACAGCTACAAAATATGGCAAAGAAGGAGAATGAGACCTTCAAAGAATATGCCCAACGATGGATAGGGGTAGCTGCTCAGGTACAACCTCCATTGTTGGAAAAAAAGATGGTCACGATGTTCATTGATACACTCCAATCCCCCTTTTATGACAGGATGATTGGAAATGTATCATCAAATTTTTCAGATTTGGTCATCATTGGAGACAGGGTTGAGATGGGAGTTAGGAGTGGGAAGATTGCCCACATGACAACAGGATCTACAACCATCAAGAAACCCTTAGAAACCACAAATAAGAGGAAAGGAGGTGAAACGAATGCAGTGATGACAACACCAGTCAGACCTAACTACAATCCTATTTCTTTCGTACCCAATTATAGACCCCAATATATGTATAACCCATAAATTGCAGCAGTTTCTTCGCCACCATACCCACAACCTTATCCATCTAGAATGCCTTATCGGCCACCTACACCGCCACCACAATTTTTAGTACCCCAAGCTAATCAATCAGCAATTTCACCTCCCATGGTGAATAATGCTCAAAGGAGGGGTAATAATCAACCAAGGACTCTAGTTTCGATCCCTATGACCTACACTGAACTGCTACCACATCTGGTTCAAAATGCTCTAATTGAGCCTCTTCCTATAAAGCATGTCCAACCTCCATATCCAAGAGGTTTTGATTCAAATGCCAAATGTGAATATCATGCTGGGGCAATAGGCCATTCAACTGAGAAATGTTGGGGTTTGAAACACAAGGTACAAGACTTGATAGATGCAGGATTATTAAGCTTTAAGGAAAGTGAGCCGAATGTAAGAAGTAATCCACTTCCAGGTCATGGGACTTCATCGATTAATGCTATCAAAGAAGAATGCACTCCACAAGTGACAGAAGTAGAAAAGATCCAAACCCCCATGAGATTCATTTTTTCAAAATTATGCAAATATGGGATGATTAAGAGAGAGTCTCGCAAAGCAGGAGTGTGCGATCTCCACCCTACAGCCACACATTCTATTGAGGAATGTGGCACGTTCAAGGAAATATTACAAGGCATGATTAACTCAAATTTGGTTCAGGTGAGCCAGGTGAGAACAAAAGAGGATGTATTGATGATTCAATCAAATGAGAAGTCCAATATGACTACTCCAAAACCACTGGTAATCACCTTCACAAAAAACACTTTTGCATCAACACCTAGTACCCTTAAGCCACTTGTTGTGCAAATTCCAGCTCCTTTTCATTACAAGGACACTAAGGCGGTTCCATGGTGTTACGAAGCGAAGGTAGAAAGTGACTATGTAAATGCCCAACAAAAAGAAGGAATTGACACTACAGGAACCAATGTAACAAATATCGTGGGGGTAGGTGGAATGACCCGTAGTGGTAGAGTCTATACTCCAGAAGAATTGAGAGCAGGAGATTTGATAAATAAACATGGGAAAAAGGAAAATACAATCATCAATGAAGGGGTTACGGATGTTAAAAGGAGAAATGATGAAAAAATCATGGGTGAAAAGAAAAAAAAGTGTCAGATGAAGAAGTCTCAGAATTTCTTAAGTTTATTCGACAAAGTGAGTACAAGCTCATTGATCAATTAAATCATACTCCTGCAAGGGTATCTTTGTTATCAGTGCTGATGAATTCTGAAAGTCATAGAAAATTATTGATGAAGATCTTGAATGAAGCTCATGTGTCCAATGACATCACATTAGACACATTTGGCGGCATAGTTGGTAACATTACAGCTAATAACCACCTCACTTTCACAGATGATGAAGTCCCAGCTGAAGGAAGGGGACATAACAAGGCTTTACACATCTCTGTGAAATGCGCAAATCACATTTTGGCTAGAGTACTTATCGATAATGGGTCCTCATTAAATGTGATGCCCAAGTCAACACTGGATCGATTGCCTTGTGATGGGACACATATGAAACCAAGTTCTATGATCGTGAGGGCCTTTGATGGATCACGAAGGGAAGTTATGGGAGAAATTGAAATACCTGTCCAAATTGGCCCATTCACCTTCAACATAACTTTTCAAGTTATGGATATTAAACCTGCATACAGTTGTTTGTTGGGAAGACCATGGATCCATTCAGCTGGGGTTGTTCCCTCTTCTTTACATCAGAAGCTGAAATTCATTGTGGAAGACAAGCTAGTGATTGTCTCAGGAGAGGAAGACATGTTGGTGAGTTGTCCTACTCCTACTCATTATATTGAAGCAGCTGAGGAGGCTTTGGAAACCTCATTTTAGTCATTGGAAATAATTAGTACTGCTTATGTTGAATCTCTAATGGGAAGTCCACAACCATCAAGTACATCCATGATGGTTGCAAAGGTCATGATGAATGGAGGGTATCAGCCAGGACTTGGATTGGGAAAATGCTTGGAAGGAGTCACGAAATTAATAGAATTGCCAGAAAACAAGGGTCGATGGGGGTTAGGGTACAAACTTACTCAAGCCGATAAAAGAAGAATGACAAAGGAGAATAAAGAGAAAAGGTTAGCTCATCTAGAGAATCGAGAGCCTAAAGTTCAGAGGATTCCCATTTGTCACCTTTATCAAAGCTTTCAAAGCAGAGGGGTGGTGCACGCAGACCAAGTTGCTATGATTAAGGAGGATAATGATGATAATCACGCCAACTTTGTGTATCCGTGTGACCCATGTGAAGAGCTCCCCAATTGGAAGATAATTAAATTTCCTGTGACTCTTAATTCAATTTCAAAGTAATTGTAATACAAACTCTACGATTATGCCCGTGATTTTAGTATGACTTTTGTTAATGGGCTTGCATGTTGTCTTTTTAGTATATCGTATGAATGAAATGCATTTCGATCTTTTGTCATATATGCTTTCTATCCTTTAATCTTTCTTTTCTCTCATTTCCTTTAATTGTAAGATTTGTGTGAATTGTGATGTGATTGTGGTTCCTCACATTAATGACCAGGGATGAGACAGCCCCTGGGTAAGTGATGCTACAGGGTGGGCGTGCCCCTGGCATGGTGTGGGATGAGTGAAGCAATTAACCCGTATCACTTATGTCAGTTATGGTGTGGCCTTGACATAATGTTAATTGTAAGATTTCTGTGGATTATGATGGATTGATTTAATTGAGATGTGAAGATGATGAATGATTGATAAATTATGATATATATATATATATATATATATATATATATAAATGCTTGTGAATATTTCATTAAGTAAGGAGTTATGATGAGATTATGTTGTATTTTTCCTTATGTGCTTTACATATAGATGTTTTCTTTTCTCACCGTACAATTTGTGGATGTTTTAGGCAAGGAAGATCCAGCTTTTAGTGGCATCTAGAATGTCAACAGTTAAATTATGGGTATGCTCTGATATTGTGACATCGGGGCAGAGAATTTCTAGGCCATGAATTTTATTTGTATATAGAGTTGAACTTATATTTTGAAAATATTTTGTAACCTCTTATGTTTTATTTTCCAAGTTTCATTTTCCAAACATTTTGGATATTGAAGGATGTTTCTAAAGGTTTTTATGTGAACCCTTTTACCGATGTTGAAAAATTTATTTATTTATTTTATTTACATTATTACAATATATGTGTTGGGGTAGTAAGGGTGTCACAACTAGTGATTGTGATGAAAGAAGATAATTTTATCCACAAAAATTCTTTCTAAATATTCCTTATATACCATTTAAATATTCTAAATAATCAACTTTAAAGATGAAGGAAATAAGCAGGTGAAAATGTGACTATTAGAATTTCTATTTTCAATTTCTTAATTTTGTACAAACAATGAATGCAAAACGTTTAAGTGTAGTGTAAATGTAAAAAATATTGATCATTTTATTTTTTTTATTACAAATTTATTTAATTAATTATATTATTAATGATGTAATATGTATATTATTTTTTTAATTATATTATGTAGATAAATAGATTAACATATCATGCCTAACAAGACTTTTTCATATCCCTAACCTTTTTAGACTAGCGAAGTCATATGCCCTTATTTAAGACATGGTGTGGATAAAAGAGAGATACTAGAATGGAGAGTTGAATAGTATCAATTAAAAACTCACATTTTTTGAAAGAGTGAAGTAGTATCGTTGGGTAAGATAATAGTGTTGTTTTGCCTTACTTTGAAGATATTATACAACCAGTATAATATAAAGTTAATTTACAAAAAGAATGAATATGCATATGTTCAATAAAAAATACTTTGCTGAATGTGAGTACCGACAAAGTTTTTTCATTAGATATAGAGTATGTGGTTCCTTTGGGGCATGCATAATGATATAGTTAGCAACATTATTAGTTAATTTAGATAGTTAAAAAATTATAAAAAATCTTAAGTTAGGTGAAACATAAAAACTTAATTAGTAAGTAAAACATTAGGAAATTTATATAAAATACTTTGAAATTAATTGATATATAATTTAAAATTTGAAAAACCATGTAGATACCTATATAATTGTACATTAATTTAAATATCTTTTAGGTATTCATAATTTATACCTTTATTATAATTAATAAATTTATATTAGTATAATTAAATAATATAAAATTGTTAGTTACACAATGTTATGCAATAAGAATTTAAATTAAAAATATATAAGATTAGTGATCTTAGTCGATTTAGGGATATAAATTAAAAATTAAAATTTATAATTAAAATATTTTTTTTATTACACTATAAGTTAATAATAACTATATGAATATTTTAATTATTATTAATTTAATTTTTTTTTGTCTTGACATGCTTAATTACATGTTTTAGACAACTCATTGACTCGTAAGTGTTATTTTCAATCTTGGTGGGTTCCTTTTTTTTTATAATTTCAAAAAAAAATTATTCTTTAATTATTTGTGATTTATCATTTATTTTTGTGGATCTTTGGATGCAAGTTTGATCTTGACGGGACTTCCTCTAATAGCTCGAAAGAAGTTTCAATGTATTTTTTCAAAAGTAACTCAATTGTCAACCTAATAATGCTTATACTTGAGTTAAAATATATTCCAATAATGATTTATTTATGTTTTATATTCACTAAATTACAATGTTCATGTCAACCGAGTAGTCTTTGAAGTTAGCGAAAAAACACATAGAAGGGGGTTGAATATGTGTGTGCAAGAACAAAGAAATTTTAAAATCTTTTTCGCAAAGGGACTCCTTTACGTCTAATGAGAATATTACTTTGAACACTTAGAGACGGTGTAAGGTTGGCTCAGAAAAAGATTTTTTGTCTGAGGGTTTATTGTCTTCTTGAAGAAAAAGTTTTTATGAGCAAAATATTTCTTTTAGATAATGAGTTGAACAAGTGTGTTTTTCATCTAAAAATAGTTGCTGTAAAAAGGATTTAACAATGGATGAAATTTTCAATATGATATATAAGCTAACCAAAAATTGCGTCTGAAGAAAGGATGAGAAGTGCAAAGAGTTTTATACTACTTCGTTCAACCTAAGCTACGTCCAGTCTCCTTCAACTAAAGGGTTCCACTAATGACAACGAATTACAAGTATTCTCAACCACTTCTGGTTCATCAACTTCACTTGTCGACGCTAGTATTCTTAAACCACTTTTGGTTCCCCGAGTATTCTCAACCACTCCTGGTTCGTCAACTTCACTCGTCGACACTAGTATTCTTAAACCACTTCTGGTTCTCCAAGTATTCTTTCACTACAAAAAGGTTATGATTTTAAGGGGCCAAGACATTTATAATAGTCAAGATGAGGCTACTACTTCTTCATCTTCAAGTGAGGATGAAGAAGAAACAAGCCAGGAAGAAAAATGTGAGGTCAGTTATCCTTACGATGGGGAACTTTTTATGGTAAGAAGACTCCTTAGCAACCAACCTAGTGATACACATTCACAAAGGGAGAACACATTTCACACAAGGTGCAATATTTCAAATAAAGCATGTTCTCTCATTGTCGAGGGTGGCTCTGGTGCAACTATTGTAGCACTAGGATGGTTGACAAGTTAGGGTTAACTACCACACCTCATCCCAAACCTTATCAACTTTATTGGCTCAATGATGATGGGGATATGGTGGTTAATCAACAATTGGAGGTAGAGTTTTCTATTGGGAACTATAAGGATAAAGTTAAAGGTGATGTAGTTCCCATGGAAGCTTGTCATATCTTGCTAGGAAGCCCATGGCAATTTGACAAACAAACAACTCATGATGGCTTTACTAACAAGATAACTTTCACACATAAGGGTAAAAAGTTTGTACTTCATCCTCTTTCACTTTCCTAAGTGGTTGAGGAGCAAGTACAAATGAAGGCTAAACGTGACCAAGAAAAAGACCTTGAAAAAAAAAAGAGAGAGTAAAAAAATACCTAAAAATTAAGAATCAATAAGATTCTAGAAAGCTTAGTAGTGTTCCCTCTCAAGAGATAGTTCAACAAAAAGAGAATCATTCTACTAAATCTTTGCCATAAACATCTCTCTTGATCAAACCATCTTCATATGTCTTTATCTGTAAAGGAGCACTCACATGCACTGCCACAAGTACCGTAAATACTTCTCTACCCCTTGACATTCAAAATCTTTTAATTGAATTTGATGATGTATTCCCTAGTGAAGGCCCTTTTGGTCTTCCACCTTTTAGGGGTATAGAACATCAAATAGATTTTGTTCCAGGAGCTAGTCTTTCCTATAGACCAGCTTATAGAAAAAATCCACAAGAAACAAAAGAGATAGATAAGCAAGTACAAGACTTGTTTGATAAGGTTTGGGTTCAAAAGAGCTTAATCCCTTGTGTTGTTCCTATTTTATTGGTGTCAAACAAAGATGGAAAATGGAGGATGTGTTGTGACTGTTGAGCCATCAACAACATCACTGTAAAATATAGGCACCCAATTCCTAGGCTTGATGATATGCTTGATGAATTGCATGGTTCATCCATATTCTTCAAAATAGATCTTAAAAGTGGATATCACCAAATTCGTATTAAGGAATGTGATGAATGGAAAACTTCTTTTTGTAACAGTCCAATTTTCATAGAATGTACGAGGGCCCAAAAGACCAATGAGGGTAATTTGGTAATTTACAGGAGTGTTTTAGTAGCCTAGAATGGGTCGTTCCAAAATTGGAATGTGTCGTTCCAAGTTACTAAAACGAAGGTGATTTAGTGGCTCGGAACCCGCCTTTCCCAAAATGGAATAGGTCGTTCCAAACTATTAAATTTGCCTATGATTCTTAGTTGAGAACGGGTCGTTCCCAACTAGAACGGGCCATTATAGATTTCAAAAATG